AACTTATGTGGTCTTCAGGAAATCATTTAGCTACCTGTAACTTTTGTTTCCTCCCTGTTAAAGATGGTCTATACTCTTTTCCTAATGCCTTCACAGCTATCATCAGAATGAATTTTTAAAGAAAACAAAATCACAAAAATGCTATAGAATTGATATGTATGCCACTTATGTACTATTTTTAGGAATGTGTTCAATGTAAGTGACGGTTTAAAGGAAAAGAATGCATGACTATTCCATGATGATCTCACAGTACTTTCTTCACTTAGATAACCTTTCTCATCCTTTCCACATCTCTGTTGATAAATGGGAAAGATACCATCATCCCCATTTTACAATTGAGGCAATAAGAGGTTAAGTGCCTGACCACTGCCAGTAACCAAGATGAGAGCAGGACTTAAGTCTCCTGTCCAAATCTGAGGATCATTTCACCTCCTCCTTATGGCCAAATTGCTACCTCAGAAACTACCTTTGGCCTTAGTCCCCTCAGCTGTAAAAATAGGGTCGTATCATATCTATAAAAGGCGGTCACTCTTATAGCTAAGATTTTATTACCTCAGGAACCAGAGCCCTCTGTGCTTTGGCATAAAAATGCTTTATAGAGTTAGCAAAAAATTACAAAAGTCATCTAACAAGAGGCAAACAGGCTATAGGTGAACTCTATACAGGAAGCAGTAAGACCTAATCATTCCTGATCTAAGATGTAGACTTTGGTGGATAAATCTAATGTTTCCAGATTCACTTTGATTCACTACAATGCTAGACAATTTTTACAAGTCCTTCTTTAAGGTATTCCGTTGGTATAAGTAGGGGCTATCTGCTTCACAGTGCTTCGCATATATTTTAGCTGATTGAAATTACTCATCATTAGAAACTTGCGAATATTTTTCCTATTACAAATGTAAATTGTTTGAAATTTATTCCAAACTTTTATTTTCAGGGGTAGTAAATTCACAGTGGTGCTCTAGATTTAGCATTTAATGCCTTGATAAAAAATTGAAGCAATTGTGAAGCCATGTCATTAACATGACATTTGCCTTGCCACTTGCATGACATACAACACAAACCAGGAAATGTTGCAGTTGTCACCGTAAGAAGGTACATTTTAGACTTTCATTCTTTTAACATAAAGTTAAAAAATCTATGTTAGTAATTACACATTTGATCTAAGAAAACATCATTTTCATCTGGCATAGCCATCACATGCCAAAATGATTCACTTGCTGCTATCTTTAATCCCTAACCTTGTGGCTGGTTTACAGTTAGCACTCAGTCCATGCTGAATGAATGAGTATTGAATAAATCTGTATGCTTGTTAGAGAGTAGTCTTACTCTTTAACTAAGAAATGTGAACAAATATTTTTTGCATGATTCTGGTATTACTGGATTAAAAGTCTCAGATACACTGGTGCTCATGAGCCTCCTTTCTAGCCTTTCCTAATCATGAGTACCAGGTGAGAGAAGTCAGGAACTGCCAAGGGGAAGGAGGACAGTTCTGTCCAAACAGATCCTGTTTACAGCCATAGATGTAAAATGAAAAGAGTGGTCTTCTTGTTTGTTAGGACACCTGTTTGGTCTTATCTACAAGTAATTCAAATGCCAAAAATTATTACTTTGGGTGTGGAAACAGCCTGTGAATACACATTCACACATTCAAGCTAAGATTATACTTAAAGTGCTTCCTGATAGTGATATTTAATTCTATAAATGGGGAAGTCTGCAGTTCACCTTCTAAATCTATCATTACAATCATCTTGGGTTATTTTTACAGTCGACTAGATGGAAAAGTGTAATAGGATGAGGAAGCTAAATTTAAGTTTCTAGAAGCAATTGTTTTCATTAAGTTCTACATGAGAATGTTTTCTTTTGAGAACCAAAGTAAACTAACATTTTTTTTGTGAAATTTACGATATCCTAAAAAGGAAAATACTTGACAAGTTTTTTTTTAAAACAAACTTCTAATATTTTTCCAACCTAAACGAAACTTTAACATCTAAAAGAGGAAAAGATATGTTGGAATACCATGAAACCTTTGTTAAGGATGAATCTTTTTAAAATATTTTATTTTATATAATTCTTACATCATTTTTCATTTTTGCACAATGCATGCATTTTCATTTTGATTATATTCCCCGTACAATTGCATCCCCCTTATTTTGACCCTAGTCCTTCCTTTCCCCGCCTCTCCTCCTTACCCCGTAGTGTGTCTCTGGTTTATAGTTGCTTGTTGATTTTGATTTTTACTTTGTACTAATTAATTTTTTCCTGGTCCCTTATTTATGTTTTCTAAATTCCTGCTATGAGTGAGACCAAGGGATGAATCTGTATTTTTAGGCCTAGCATTGGTATCATAGTACTTTAATTCCTAGCCCCATGAAAAAGTTCAAATATAGTTCCACTGTAGGGTATTTTTGTTTTTCAGAGTATTTAAATTCAGTAAAATTTATTTTTTAAAAACTAGATATACAACTTTATATATCATAAATGATACTCAGTTCTGTCCAAACTGTATCTGGCACACTGCCAAACCTTAATGTCTTACAATCTTTATTAGGGTTTTTTAAAAAAAAATTTATTTTTTATTTATACAATGGCTGTGGTACAGGCCAGAGGTGCAGGAGGGTGAGAGGATTCATAAGAGACAGAGTGGGGAGCAGAAAAGGCAGACAGACCGAAAGCACTGCTGAGGGGAGCAGCAGGCGTGACAGGAGAGGTCTGCTGCGCCATGTGGGAATCTCCCTGGCCATCTGGGAATCAAACTGGTGCTCCAGAGGCTATGGACAGCTTCAAAGCACTGTGCTCAACCAGCTGTGCCACTGGGAGGCCTCTATTAGGGTGTTTTTTTGTTTTTTTTGTTTTTTTAACAAACTTGCCATTACTACTACATGAAACTATCCAGATATTTAATATATTTTCTCGTTTTAGTATATAGTTCCTATATATTGCTATTACATATGATATTCTATATTAACTTCTGTGTCACTGTAACCAATAAAATATAGTTTAGGCAAAGAACCAAACTCCTCGAGTATATTATGAGCAAGTATATGTATTATCAGTAAGACTTGCTTTTTTTCAATATTTAAAGTTATAGAAAGTTATGATGTGATTTAGCTTGATTCTTACATTATATGAGATAAAGTTCTAAATGTCTATGACATCTTGGGATTTTATTTTGTGGTTCTGATTGGAAATATTTGGAGGTCAGGAACTGGAGGAGAGGAAAGAAATAATGGATCTATTTTTTCACATAAGTATCAAGGCAACCCTTTACTACTTACGATTTTTATTATGCTTTTGTTCATTTGAGACCCTCATTTCCCTGGTTTAGTATTCTCTTTAATTGAAGAGGAAAATAAAGAATAGTACATAAGAAAAGATCTTAAAGTAGGGAAAGTGGATTGAGCAAAGAAATAACCATGTCATTCAATGATACTGTGATCTTGTATTGTTGCCTAAAAGGAAACATGGATTCAAAAAATTCATTCATATGACATGAGAATTATACTGGCACTACATTTATGACTAAATGACTAAATGAGAATTATACCAGCACTACATTTATCAAAATAAGTAGAACTTACCACCTAGATATCATTTCCAGAATTATAGTCTTGAAATGTTGAACTCTTATAGTAGAACTTTAATTTAAGAACATAATTTACAGAATAACAATGCCACTTCCCAATAGTTAGTTGCCTTTGACAAATAGTATCTGAGAATGTTATTCCCTATAATAAAAAAATTTTAAGTTCTAATTGTTTGGCTCTGTATAGTGGGCAATTTTTCAGCTGTAGAAGTGCTCTTGAAGCTTCAACTTACTTCCTATTTTTTTTTGTTTTAAAAAATGTGTGCTGACTGGGACCAGTGTGTTATTATTTATAAAATATGTGGATAAAATGTGTAGCACTAATACCTATTGATGGATTACATCATTTTATAGGGTAATTCTCTGAGAAAATGACTGCATAGTCTAAATAAATTTTATTCTATATGAAAACCATTCAGATTTCTACTTAAGTCCGCTTGCTGTCTTCAAATAAGTATCTTTCTATTCCAAACAACTGCATGATATCTATAAGCAATTCATTCTTGGATGCTTTGTAGAGAAATCATTATCCTTTAAATAAGCTAACAAAAATTCATACATACAATTTGTTTTGGGTAGGGTTAATTTTTTCCTACTGAATAGTGCACAGAAGATATTATTTGGGAAATCTTATATATCCTCCTTTTGGGGTCAAATCAGTATAGCATACTGGGTAAGAACATAGATGGCGAAACAAGATGACACTCTCACTAATATCTGATAGCTATGCAAACTTTGTAAAATTATTTAGTCTTCCCATGCCTCGATTTCTTCTCCTACAATAGCCATATTACCCTACATTGGATTGTTGTGAGGACTGAAATAATACATGGAAAGTACCCCATACAGAACTCTCAGTAAAATGTTAGCTGCTATTATTATTCAGAGGCATCATCACCTAAGATCCCACTGGAAAAAGTGATGGTGGTGGGGAGGGCATTATTCATAGATTTCTTTGTATATGTAAGTTAACTTTCGTTATGTATACGGACATATTAGCAACACCTTAAAAATAAGAATCAATAGCATTGACTTGGAAAGAAAATACCAGAGATTTTTCAAAATTCTAGTCAATAATGCAGTTTTTATTTGCTGTGCTCACTTTAAGTCAGGTCTTATGATGAATTTTCATTACTGAAAGTACTTTAATGGGCTGCTGTAATTGTAGAGTTTACATAACTTTTTAAAGTTTGATAAATTCCATGAGTGATTTTGCTTTCGAGTGACACTATTCTCTTAAATTGTCAGTTTAAGAGCAACACTTCAGGGCTCTAGCTGATTAAAAGAAGACGACTATCTGGTTTCCTTTACATTCCAAGGGAAATGTCTGCTTTAGAAGGAACAGTCAGCGGGCCTGAGGCTTTCAGATGTGAAAGATATCTTGTTCACCATTTTCCATTAATTTGCTTTGCAGCTTGCAGTTCCCCACAATGATGAATGGACCCGGTTTGCTAGAACCCTTGTGGAGATCCGTGCTAACAGAGCTGATAGTGAAGAAGAAGGCACTGTGGAGTTATCTACCTAATGGAAATGAGTTGTGCCCACCCAGCCCCACCTTCACTGTCTTTCAGCATTTGCAGTCAAGCCCACTTGTAGTCAGCACCCATTCAGTATCAGTATTGCCATGAGTTTTTAGGTGCCAGCTTTGTTCCAAGTATTCCAAATGTACCCCACCCTGCTCTCTGCTGATCTGAAATTCACCAGAGCATTTCTATCTTTATATTTCTGTCTCAAAAATGTGTGTGGAAGTGGGGGGGGGGAACCTTTACGGATTTAGTTGTTGCCTTTTAACTACTTAGTAGCTGTATTTAATAGCTAGAAACCTCTGGTTAAATTTGTGCTTACATGCACTTCTGGCATAGTCCTATTAAATCCATATGAAGCCAGATATGATTAGGTGCAGATGTGGTGTGCTTCATGATATGGTACAGGGCCAAAGACTTGAGATGTGGTGTTTTACATGGTGACTCACATTATGAATGGATTTACTAGAAGAACATTGCTGCTCCTTATTTATTGTGGTGTGCTGCATGGAACATATTTATTTGAAAGCATTAAAATAAACGATCCTAGAGCATGTGTATAATGAGAGGACTGTATTGTCTCTCTGCTGCTGTTGAGGTTACATTAAGTTCCAAATAACAATTACAGTATGCTCGTACCACTGAGGACATGAAATCTTTAGAGGTTTGCTGCAGTGAACGGAATGAATTTTAATGCCTATTATTTCTAGGTACTTTAATAATATTTCAAACATAGTTGACCATGGATACTTGTCATTCAAGCTAATACAGTCCGACAAAAATCTGTGGTTCCTAAATATGACACCAGTATTGCCAATAAAATGTTCCAAACCAGGTTTGCTAGCAGCGTGGTTAATTCCTTTGCTTGGGAAAGTCTGATTAGAATTCTTATATGACAACGGGATGGGGAAGATACATTAGGGTGATGTTAATGATTGATAATTTTATTTTTAAGAGGGAACGTATATGGGTTTTGGAAAGCTCTTCCTTCTCTCCTTCACCAAAGCCACTCTTGCACAAAGACTATCTCATATTTTAGAAGAAGGAAAACAGGTTAAGATAACAAATACCAAATGTTCTACACATTTCTTTTTTTATTTACAACAGAAAATTATGTTTATTACTATTGGAATAGGAAATATGTCTATAAACAACTTTAATAGAATTTTTTTTTTTCAAAAAGTCATTTCAGGCCTAGAGAGAATTAAAATAAACAGTGACTTAGACACACACACACAAAACCATTTAAAGACAGGCTTTCAGCTTTTTAGGAAGAGAATTTCCATCTCCTTCAACTGGGAGATTTATTTTTTTTGTAATGGTACACTTTTTCCCTAAGTATTCTATAGCATATAGATATTAAAATTCATTATAAACAGAACTTTAATCTTTAAACATAAAATATGAGTATCTAAAATAGCTTTAAAACCAATTAATAGTAGGGAAAAAGCTTTTCAAGCATGCACTAAAGGACCATGAGTTGCTATTACAGACTAAAATCTAAATGAATCCATGAGCGAAGACTGATAGTTGCCAAGACCAATGTATAAGCACATGAAAAATTACAAACTTATATGCATACATATCCCACATGGTAGCAGATCTCCAAAACAGTCTCCCATTTTTGTATAGAGTTATGCCAGTTGAATCTGGGCTGACCTTGAGTGACGGAGTCTGAGGGAAGTGATGCTATGTGAGGTCAGGAAGTTATAAGAAGACTTGGAATTTTCCTTCTAGATCGCTTGACACACACAACTTGGTCCCCAAGCTACTGTGTAAGAAGCAAAACTACCCTCAGGCCTGAAGGCTATACAGTGGCCCAAGTTGACCATGGAGGGGCCATGTAGATAAACAGGTAAATATCCAGTTATCAAGTCATGCCTGCTGATGTGTCAGGTAAAATGACATCTGCCTCAGATCTTCTATTGCAGAGAGCATAACTGGCAGAGTTCTAGCTGCTTTGCTTTGAGATCTATTACCATGTTTAACCAAGTCATGCTTCCCACAGTCTGCTCCAAGCCAAGACTGAGCATGGCAGAGATACTAAAGTGGAGGTAACTGGCTCAAGGACTCCTATAGCATTGTGAAGACTTTCTTAGAACTGCACTATAGTCTAAAACTTACTGACCTTCCTTCTTTCCCATCCTCCCTTTTTTCTCTTTCTTCTTTTCTCCTCTTTCCCTCTTTTCACCCAGGGTCAGACGAATATCACTGAGTGACAGTTCTCTGAGAATAACCTAGCTGGGGACATACTGGGCCAAATAAAGGAGTAAAGTATACACCAGAAGAGCTGCAAGAAATACCATGTGCTATTAGGAACTAAGGGAGTAGCACTGGGAATAAATTTGGAGGGGTGGTACGTTTGATATGAGTAATATGTGATAGCCTATAGATTGAAAAGGACAGAAATATTATGGACTTATGTGGGGAGGAACAACAACATTAATTTACTGTTTTGCCTCAGGCTATGTTAACTTCATCCTATTATACTGCAAACAGGTCTAGAATGCCTGAATATCCACAAAGCATTACACTAATCCATCACATTAATGACTCCAGTTGGGGGGGCAAGGAAGAGTTAACTAATACACCAGAAGTCTTAATAAGATACATTTATTCCAGAGGGTAGAAGGTAAATGCAAGGACGACTGGGCCTTCTAGTTCACTGGAGATTTTAGTACTCTAACGGTTAGAAGCATGCTAAGATATATCCTTCAAATAGACAAATTGCTAACCTTGACTCCCAAGACAAAGATGAAAGTACAACACCTGGTAGGCTTCTTTGGATTCTTTTTTTTTTTTTTTTTTTTTTTTTTTTATTTATTTATTTATTTATTTATTTTTAAATATTAAATTTTTTTTATATTCCCCCATACAATTGCAAACGCCCCATTCTGACCCCAATCCTTCCCCTCCTGCCCCCCACCCCCCAACAAGTGTCTCTGGTTCATAGTTTTTTGTTGATTTTGATTTTCACTTTCTTATATTCATTTTCCTGGTCCCTTATTTAAGTTTTCTAGATTCCTGCTATGAGTGAGACCATCCGGTATTTTTCTTTTTCTTTTTGGCTTATTTCGCTGAGCATGATCCCTTCCAGTGCCATCCATGTTGCTGCAAATTGCATGTGTTTATCTTTTTTGAATGCTGAGTAATATTCCATGGTATATATGTACCACATCTTCTTGATCCAGTCATCTATTTTTGGGCATTTGGGTTGTTTCCAAAGCTTAGCTATTGTAAACAGTGCTGCTATAAACATAGGAGTGCAGGTGCTCTTTGGAATTGATGTTTCTGTGTCCTTTGGGTAAATACCTAGGAGTGGAATTGCTGGATCATATGGAAGCTCTATGTTTAGTAGGTCCAGAAATCTCCACACAGCTCTCCATAGTGGTTGGACCAGTTTGCACTCCCACCAACAGTGCAGGAGAGTTCCTTTTTCTCCACATCCTCGCCAACATTTGTTGTTGCTAGTTTTTTTAATATGTGCCATTCTCACTGGTGTGAGATGGTATCTCATGGTAGTTTTGATTTGCATTTCCCTGATGACAAGTGATGTTGAACATTTTTTCATATGTCTGTTGGCCATTTGCATTTCCTCTTCAGAGAAGTTTCTTTTTAGCTCTTCTGCCCATTTTTTGACTGGATTATTTTCTTTGTTGTTGCTGAGTCTCATCAGCTCTTTGCAGATTTTTGTGATCAGTCCTTTATCATTAGTGTTGGGTGCAAAAATGTTCTCCCAGTTGGTGGGGTTTCTCTTTGTTTTTGTTATTGTCTCTTTTGCTGTGCAGAAGCTCTTTAATTTGATGTAGTCCCAGCTGTTTATCTTTGCCTTCACTATCACTGCTTTGGGTGATGTGTCTGTAAAGATGTCTTTGATGTGCAGATCACGTAGTGTTTCGCCTATATTTCCTTCTATATATTTTATGGTTTCAGGTCTTATGTCTAGTTCTTTAATCCATTTTGAGTTGATTTTTGTGTATGGTGTGAGGTAGTGGTCAAGCTTCATTCTTTTGCATGTAGCGACCCAGTTTTCCCAGCACCATTTATTGAACAAACTTTCTTTGCTCCAATGCATAGTCTTTGCTCCTTTGTCAAAGATTAGTTGACCATAAATCTGTGGGTTTATTTCTGGATTTTCTATTCGATTCCATTGGTCTGTATGTCTGTTCTTGTTCCAATACCATGCAGTTTTGATGATTATGGCTTTGTAGTATAGTTTGAAGTCTGGGAGTGTGATGCCTCCATTTCCTTCTTTTTTTTCAGTAGAGCTTTGGCTATTCGGGGTTTTTGGTGATTCCATATGAATTTCATCAATAATTGTTCTATTTCTTTGAAGAATGCCATTGAGATTTTGATTGGAATAGCATTGAATCTGTAGATTGCTTTTGGTAGGATGGCCATTTTAATAATGTTTATTCTTCCAATCCATGAGCAGGGGATGTCTTTCCATTTCTTTGTGTCTTCTTCTATTTCTTTTAACAGTGTTTTATAGTTTTCTTTGTATAGGTCCTTTACCTCTTTTGTTAGATTTATTCCCAAATATTTGATTTTTTTTGTTTCAATAATAAAAGGGGTGGTTTTTTTGATTTCTTCTTCTTCAGATTTATTGTTTGTGTATAGGAAGGCTACTGACTTTTGCGTGTTGATTTTGTATCCTGCCACTTTACTGAATTGATTGATGAGTTGAATTAGTTTTTCTGTGGAGATTTTGGGGTTCTCTATGTATATTATCATATCATCTGCAAATAGTGATAGTTTGACTTCTTCTTTTCCTATTTGGATTCCTTGGATGTCTTTCTCTTGTCTTATTGCTCTGGCTAGGACTTCCAGTATTATATTGAAAAGCAGTGGTGAGAGTGGACATCCTTGTCTTGTTCCAGATCTTAATGGAATTACTTTCAGCTTTTCACCATTGAGAATGATACTGGCTGTTGGCTTGTCATAGATGGCCTTTATGATGTTGAGGTATGTTCCTTGTATCCCAAGAATTTCAAGGGCTTTTATCATGAATGGGTGTTGCACTTTGTCGAAAGCTTTCTCAGCATCTATCGATATTATCATATGTTTTTATATTTCTTTTTGTTGATGTGTTGGATAACGTTGATTGATTTCGGATGTTAAACCATCCTTGTGCCCCTGGAATGAATCCAACTTGGTCGTGGTGAATTATCTTATGGATACATTGTTGGATTCTGATAGCTAAAATTTTATTGAGCATTTTTGCATCAGTGTTCATTAGGGAGATTGGCCTATAGTTTTCCTTTTTTGTGTTGTCCTTATTCGGTTTTGGTATTAGTGTAATATTGGCTTCATAGAACGTGTTTGGTATTGTCCCTTCCTTCTCAATTTTTTGGAAGAGTTTGTGAAGGATAGGCACTAATTCGTCTCTGAATGTTTGGTAGAATTCATTTGTAAATCCATCAGGTCCTGGGCTTTTGTTTTGGGGAGGTTTTTAATTACCATTTCAATTTCGCTGCTTGTAATTGGTCTGTTTAGGTGTTCTATTTCTTCTTTATCTAGCTTTGGGTGATTGTAGAGTTGTAGGAATTTGTCCATCTCCTCTAGATTGTTGAACTTGTTTCCATATAACTGTTCATAGTAGTTACTGATTATTCTTTTGATTTCTGCTGTGTCCGTTGTGATTTCTCCTCTTTCATTTATGATTCTGTGTATTTGTGCTTTCTCCCTTTTTGTGAGCCTGGCTAGGGGTTTGTCTATTTTATTTATTTTTTCAAAGAACCAGCTCTTGGTTTCATTGATCTTTTGGATTGTTTTTTTAGTTTCAATTTCATTAATTTCTGCTTTGGTTTTATTATTTCTTTTCTTCTACTGGTTCTGGG